TTACAGGTCACACCTTGTGGTGACAGGGTACACATAACCTTAGGCTTGTACTGCTATTTACTTTGCACGTTTTAGCAGGCTGCAGTGTTCACAGGGAACAGAGATAAAACATCTACAGTTCAGTGGACAAAAGAAGTACGCTTTGGTTTTAAATTGTTCCTAGTGACAGTTTGCAATGAGTTCACTGAAGTGTGTAGTGTTGATTGAGACCTAAATGTGGTTCATTCAGTGGCAGGTTTTCTCCATATTGTTGGAAGAATTGGAATTCTTCTCAAGATAAGTAGTTTACAGACAAATTAATAAACAATAGTATCTTTCTGTGAGGAGTAATTCTCACAATTTGCCCCATTCATTTTAGATACAGTAGATCTCCATTCTAACTCATTATTACATGAGTTTGCTTAGATGTCACATTTATTTACCCCAAAAATCCAAAATTCACATGCCAACTAATTTGTGCTTCAAATCAATTTGGATGTTATGGACGTAAACAACTGTATTTAGTGTCAGCCTGGCTCATTAGGCAGCACTCTCATCTCTGAGTCAGAAGATTGTAGTTTCCAATTCCACATTGGGACTTGGAACTTATGTGGATCTAAGATGACACGCTGGTGCATTTCTGGAGGTGCACTGTATTATTGGAGATGCTGTCCTTCAGATAAGACATTAAACCGAGGCCCCGTCTGCCTGTTCAGTTGGACGTTAAAGATCCCATGATACTATTCAAAAAGAGAAGGGAGTTTCTCCTGGTGTCCTGGCCCACAATCCTTTGAACAAAATTGGTCATTCACTTCATGGCTGTTTGTGGGATATTGCTGCATGCAAATTGGCTACTGTGTTCGCCCACAAATGATACAGTAATAATAATAATAATCCTTGCATTTGATATAGTGCTTTTCACGTCTTCTAGACATCTCAAAGTGCTTCACGGAATATACTGTACAGTGACTGTATATTTGTGGGCGAAATGCGGCAGCCAATTGCCACAGCAGTTTGCACAAACAGTCGTGGATTGAAGTGACCAATTTATTATTGTTTTTTTCATGAGGGGTTATTATCAGTAACTGCACTTTACAATATACCCTGTGATACGATTTGGGACATTCTTCAGTCATGCAAGACTGAATGTAAAGATTTTACTATTATTATAACACTTTTTGCCATAGACAAACATGAATCATTTACAGTTGCTTTAGAAAGGCTTGGGTTACAATACTTTATTCCATATGTACTGATTAGATCGCATTGAATTGATAGAACAAGCTGCAAAATTGGCACCTATATAGAATCATAACATCCTTCAATGGATCATATTCTAAAAAGTGGATTTATTTTTTAGTCTCAGAGCTAAATTTTAAAAAAGTTGGCAGCAATTATTCAACCTGCTTTCTTAAATTTAATATCCGTTTGAGGGAATAACTAATAAATTATCACCCATTAAACTGAGGAGCAGGCTTAAACTCTGCAGGGAATGCAAGAGGATATAAAATCTCTGAAACAGCACTCTAGTATAAATTTGTAAGCATGCATCTTTTCACTTCCATCAGCTTTCATTTTTTTTCCCAAAAGGAAGCAACGTGCAAATGAAAATGATTCTAAAGAAAACAAAGTTATGAATCTTCATAATGTAATACTATTACACTTATGCATGGAGGCAGGCATTAGATTAAATGGAGATATAGTGAACATATGATCAAGATGTCAATTTACAGGAAGGTGCCAAATTTGCCTAATCTTTTGGTCCATGTTCAGCTAATCCTCTTATCGCATTATCTTGCAAAAATTCTTGCAGTTTACATGTGTCACACACTGTGTATCAGATCTTTCTTCCAGAAGGATTGTTTCTGTTGACTTAATCGCCTGATAATCCTGAAAAGAATGTGACCTTGGGTGAATACATGGCCACCTGATGGGACGACTAGGAATATTTAGCCAAAATAATTGATGTGGAGAATCATTAATCGAGTACAGTTAAATGACTTTTCAACTTTAGGTGTATTTTTCACATCAGGGAGTGGGTGGGGGGAAGGAAGAGGAGGTCACTTAATTCTCAATTTAACCTAATTATATCACATTCACTTCAAGATCATGTTGATTAATTTGGCCACCCTGTGCAAATATAGCAGTTGCACAAGAATTTTAAAAAAATGTGTAGTCAAGGAAAAAATTGGTTCCTTGCTCCTTCATATAAATAAGGGAAAAATAAGAACATGTTTTAATCTTCTGTTGCATGAATTATAAAAAGTAAGATTATCTTGCACAAACCAAGGTCATAAAAAATGAAGATGGGCTAATAGAATTAGAATCATTGAATTTTACAATTAATTTAAATATTTTCTCTTGAGTTCAATGGTAAGTTGCCATTCAAAAATAGTTTTTTATATTTAGTGAATTTATATGCTTATTGAAGTGATAAATATCTCTGCGGGGTGGGGAATAGAAATGGAATACTCAACCCAGAGTTGCTAACCCGCACACAGACCAAGATCAGATGTGATACAGTTTGATGCAGGCTAAAACTCTATCCCGTTTGCCTCAGCAATATATTTTTACATCAAACTCGGAGGGATGCACCCAACTGCACAGCATGAATTTCTCCACTTCCCTTCACAGACATTAAGGTTTAACTTAATAAGACTAACAAATTGTGGACAATTTAGTCCTGCAGTTACTATGCTTGGAACTGGATTGGAAATTCTCCAACTCTTTTCAGAGATTTTAACAGGCAGCAATGAGATGAGAGTTTCATCTATTAGTTTAGGGTGAATTCAAATCAAAAAGATAAATATAGTTTGCTAAGACCCTGCACCACTCAATGTGTTTTACCAAGTGTGTTTTAAACTTTAATATCACTATCCTACACAATCCTCCAGATATTAATCACAAAAAACAAAAGTGACAATAATGTTCAAATAGGTGAAATGGTAATGAGTGAGTGGTTAAAAAATTGGTCTTAGCTCCAAAGAAGGAAATTATCCAAAGACCTCAAATAAAGGTGGTAGAGAAGTTAACTTTGGAGACAAGTTTGTAGGAAAGTAAGAGGAATTGTTAAATAGAGCTGGACGGGAGATGTAGCCAATCATACTTTTGTATTTCACACAACCAAGAAGAATAAGAAAATTGCTTGCATTTGATATAGCAACTTTCACATCAGGAAGTCGTCTCAAAGCACTTCACAGGATTGTACTGTAAAATGTAGTGTCTGTGTAATTTGAAGGCAGACGTGGTAACAAATTTTAGCAGAGCAACATCCCACAAATAGCCATGAAGTAATTGTCCGGTTTTATCTCGGAGACTATTGATCAGGACACATGCAGAAACTCATACACTCGACATCTCAGTATACTGAGACTAATGTAGAAGCTTGTGATTTGAAAATTGATGGGTAGAGACAAATAAAAAACAAGCAAGAGAATTTAGGTTAAAGTATTAGGATAGGACTGGTAAGTTGAGAATTGTCCAATCAACAAACTCCCAAAATATTTTATCATATAATCAATTGAAGGAAGATTTCCATGACAGAAATAAAGGTAGGAACCATTGGTGTAAGATATATAGTAGAAATCAAATTGGCTCACAGCATAGATAACCGAAAATGCTCTTGATCAAACTTAACTGTAAGCAGCATGTACTGTGAGTTAAAAAAAATGTTAAAAGACCTTGTGAGAGACATTTTCATCCAAGTTAGAAAAGAAGGCCCGACTCACTGAGAAAAACGAATCAGTGAGAGAGGGTAGCATACTGGAGTCCAATTATAATGAAGCTTCTGAAGCTCACATCCTGCACATGTAAATCATATGGCAAAGTACGAGGCTTTATTAAGTGGCTTCTTGCCAAAAAGCTTTCTTTCCCTCCCATAAAAGAACATCCATAAAGTTATAATACCAGCAATATGTATAGTGTTATCTTAGCCACTCCAGAATCCAATCCATCAGGCAATACATATAAACAGACCTTGTGGCACTTTTGCTCTCTAGTAAAGCTGAGTGATCACATGGTGAGGTACATACCTCTGTGAAAGGAAGGATAATTAAATTCTCAAAGAGGTTCAAAATGTTTGTTGTATAGCTTCCTCTCCTGCATTGTGTCTTTTCCTAATAAGCCTTAGTACACAGCATCCAACTCTCTTTGGAGGTCACAATGTCTCGGAACATTCAGATCGTAGAAGATGTAAATTAAATAGGATTGAGTTAGACAACAACAAATAAAGAACCTGAGTCATTTCCAAAGATAGGAATGGACTATTTGCATTAGCAGCAAGAGAAGCACAAGAAGAAAAAGTTACAGGAGACCTTATTGAAACAATGAAAATCCTAAAGAGTTCAAATAGACTGAAGTTTATGTATAATAAAGGTCCATGGACACAAGTTCAGACAAAGGAACGTGAACCGTCAATTCAGATTGAATTACTTAAATGGAGAGCCATGAAGTTGTGGGAATCATCATATCCATACAGGTTGTGATGGCAAATTCCATCAACATATTCAATAAGGGAATTAGATTGCTTTCTGGCAAATAATTTGATTGAAGAATGTAAAATATAGAGTAGAGTAGGATTATTATTTTTCTTACTTTGCTTACAGCTTGGTAGATTGTAATGACCTTAATATTTCAATCTTCCTATGTTTTGGATATTTCTGTAATACAGAGGAGAAAAAGAACAAGCAAAGAAGAACTTCCAATATTCCTAGATCTTCCAGTTTAAGGTTATCACTTTGACGTGAAACTTTCACATCTTCCTGGATCTAAGAGAGCAATGGAGGAAACTAATTATATCCACTCTCCCTTTATTAACTAATTTAATTACGCTTTGACCCTTGGACAGTAACAAATAGTGAATTAGTTTTTTATCCGTTTCGTATTGCTCCTTTGATCTCAGATATGCTATTGTGAGGATATGCCAACAATCTACCATATGCAGAGGCAAGGCATCTTCTCACAGAAAGGAAGAGAAAATTGGAAGCAGAATCATCACTGGGCCATTCTCACTTTCCTTCTAGGAGCCAACTTAAATCCTGCACAAGGGGAGGCCTGGGATCAGGTTGGTCTTAGGAGGCACATGGCCTGGAGAGACCAGAAGGAGAGAAAAATGGGAAAATTAGAGGGTAACCTGCCACTCCAAGGGTTATCCCTGATACGTGAAAAGCCAGGTCTGTGTGAAATATACTATCTTTGCTGATTCATATCATCAAAGTTTCATATCATGAAAGTATTTGATCAATGTATGGTACAACATCCTGGAAAATTTGTATTAAATTTAGAGTAACAATATTGAAAATGAAATCTGCAATGATATTCACTCAGGAATTACTTTGACGGGAAAGTTTGATTAATACATCAGTATGTTAACTATTTTGCCTTTACTTTTTAAAACTATCACAAACATTTTTTAAACATTGGCGTTAAAAATTCTAATTAGGGTGCATTAAGAAAATTAGAGTATATTGACAACATTTCAACAGTGGTTGTTGTGTGCTGATCATTGTGTAAATGTCATAAAATTACATAAGGAGGGTAAAAGAAGTTGTAAGTTTCGCAAACAACTCAATTGCCTATTGAAGCTCAGCCAATGTGATGGGGGATATTTCGAGCATTTCCTCGCATGGACATATTCAGTAAGCGAAATGAAACAAGGTGCCAGCTTTTTTTTCCCTTCACCTTGCATCATGCATCATTCTGCTTACACTCTGCCATGATTTACCATTAAGAACAAAATAATTAATCTCCTCTCCCCTAATCTCTCAAAGGAAATATAATCTGAAATGAGGAAAACCTGAATTCTTTTTAATGTGCCATCGCATCTTAATTTAATAATGTAGTGGTATATTCTCTTTGAAATATGCATCTATATGGAATCATATTTGTATTAACATTACTTTTTTCCTTTGTTCATTATGACAAGTGAAAAGTATCATTGAGCCACTGGAATTCAATACAATCGACATGTGCATACTAAAATAAAAGAAACAAAAAGTAATAATAATCCTTGCATTTGATATGGTGGGTTTCATGTCAGAAGGACAACAGTGAATGTCTTCACAGGATTCACAATAAAGTGTCGTGACTATGTATTTTTATTGGCGTACAAGCCGGTTAATTTGCACACAGCGATTTTCCACAAACGGCCATGAAATGAATGACCAAAATTCACTTTATGTACGTACACATGGCTCACAAGACATTGATCTGTACAGAATGAACTTAGAATCCCAAATAATATTTTTTTAACATTGATTACCATGGGAATTATGTGTTATCAATTACAAATACCATTACAACTACAATTAATAGAACTACAAAATGAAGGCATGCCATCCATGGACAATTTTCCACATACCACTTTGTAAAAGTTCAGTTGTATAAACGTTAGTGCTTATGCCTATTTTCATGACAGCTTCTCTGCATGTCTGGATGGAGTGAAAAGATTAAGGTTGAAGGCTTTGATGTCTCAATCCAAGTCATAGTTGTGGAACAAAAGTATTCTCAATGTTCCTTTACTCAGTGACCACAATGTTCAGAGCTCCCTCTTGCAGCCAAGACATCATTTCTTATGACAAAGACTCAACTTTGATGCTTGGCATAGATGTATGGAAATTAAATTGATTCACTAAATCTGTGTCAAGTGAATGGCTTTCCTAATCGTTCACAATATCCTCAGCCGTGATGATCGTTTCCTCCGAATCATTTTTTGTCACCATTTGAATGGAGGAGCAAACATTTTACTTGTGTGATGCCTTCTCAGGACTGCCAAGATTGTTGTGACTAAAGCTAGGTGCAGACATTTATTTACCTTTGCAAATGTCACAGGTAAGCACAAACTCCAGAGATTTGTGAAACGGTTAGACGATTAGAATTTTTTTCTGCAACTTTTTACAACTTCAACACCATTTCCACGAATTGTTGTGGTGCTGTGTGTAGGTTGTCATTTGGCACCTCCTCATCATGGAACGGTAGTTTGTAGGATGTATGGTAGAATCTCTAGGCAATCATAGCAAGGCATCTTGACAACTGAATGTTCTTGTTGGACTTCAGTATTCCAGTGAAGACAACTTTGATTGAAAGTTTCAACTCTGTATTTCTCAGTAGTTATAGTATCCAGATATTATATGCAATGTCTCCAAGAGCATAATTTATAGAGATTTGTATTCACCCAGAACAAATCTCTGTCTTTTCTTTCTATCTAGTCAGTTTTAGGGAGCTTACTGATTTTTGTCATATCACTCTATATGTCTTGCAGCTTCAATGAACTACAAATTGTACCCAAGGACACCCACACTGGAAAATGGCACTCAAAAGTTGAAAATGAATGAAGTGGTGAAGAGGAAATTATGTAATTTCCTTAGAAACTTGCCCTTAGAGGTCATCAAGGCAATAATTCACAGACTTATCTTCATTTAGTTCTTGGTACTGAAATGGCTCACTTCTTTGAGACAGCAGGTATTGACATCTCAAGGTGATACACCAACAAATGTGGCAGATCAAACCAATCGCCTAATAGTTAAGCGCATTCTCCATTAAAATGGGATTGCCAGATGTTCACTTTGACAGTTTTAATTGAGAAGACAAAAATTTAAATCCTAATAAATTTGATTTACTGCTAGCAACCTAGCAAATGTAGTTGTTTTCTAAAATAGAACTTACATATGAACTTTTATTCATATTCACATTGCTAAAAGTACCCATAAACTGAAGGGTATTTAGTTGTTTGCCTACAAATACACAGTCACTGTACCTCAGAGAAAAATTCTGGGAAGCGCTTCGAGAATTTTAAAAGGTCCCACATCAAATGCATGGATTCTTTATATTTATTTATAAATTACTGTATTCTGTGAGAAGTCACATTATGGTATACCGTTACTTGGCATTTAATATGGTCCAAATTAGAGGGATTTTTTGAATACTGGATTATTTTGCAAGTCCAAAGAAAAACCTGTGGGAATTTGAAAGGGTATACAAATGTAATTATTTTAAAGCCTCCTGAATTTTGGTCACAAATCTTCATTACCGGTTGAAATGCGTGTTATGGAATTTGGGCCCCTGGAATCACTGGATGGGTAGCTGTGCTTTAAGTAATTTATTACTGCTCTAGTAATCCATTAATACTGAAAGCTTTTATAACACTAATAAACTCCAAATTAAAGGCATAATGAAAATAAACATGCAAGCAGAAAGCCTACTCATTATCTGTTCCGGTTTGTTGTCATCTGAATAAAGACTGGAGCCTGGATAAGTCTTTTAGGGAACAATGATAACATTCAGAAGGTTCTAATTCTCTTAAATTTTTCTGACAAGACATTTCACACAGAAAATTACATGGCTACATTTCGTATGAATTAGTATAAGTGATCAATCTCAAATCCTTAGAAGGGAAAAATAAAGCAGGTATTTGACAAGCCGGTATTTGTATCTGGAGAAACTGCTGTTCTCTTGTCTAGTAGCACTATTTTTCAAACACTGCAAGCATGGTGGAAGATATTGAAAATTCTACAGGATTTACTATTAAAATGTCATCATCACTGAAGCAGAGTTTCTTTAGCAGCAATAACAGGATTGTAAGTTGTCTGTTTTAATAGTAGATGCAACTATTACACTTGTCAGTGAAATAATACCAGAATTGCTTGAAATTCCTATTGTTTACATGCCTGAAGGCATGAAAACAATCTGTAGGGCCATAAAAATAAATTGTACCAGCCTTAAGGCCAAGTCTGGGGAAAAAACGAGGCTGATGCTGCCTGGTAATATTTCCATTCAAAGCTTTTGGTTTATTCAGCAGTGGAGCTATTGGAATATATTTTCTAAAACTGCTCCAGGACACTGCAGCACAAAGTAATGTGAGTCACCAGAAAGTGCCAAAGTCACATGAATCTAGATCATTTAGCCACATGTAACAATGCTTTAGATTTTTAAAAACACATTTTTTGGTCAGGGTAGAGAACACAGTGGGCCTCTCCACATGGTTGTGTTCTCAATCACAGGGCCGTATGAAGGAAGACGGGGAAATAGAAGAGAAAGGAGCTAACATTTTCATAGTGTCCTGTGCATGAAGACATCTGAAAGCACAGTAATGATTGTCAAGCGTAGTGACTGAGAGTAGTTGGGTGTTTTGTTGGCATAGTTGGGTGTCGAAAATGACCATGTCCAAATTGTACCTATTCCCCACTTTGGAAAGTAATCGTTACTGAACCAAGCTCAGTATTCATTCTCTACACCCAAGAATCCCCGTGGCTTGTTTTGAGAAAAAAAATGTTTTTGTATTGAATTATGGATAGATTTATTCTGTGAACCTGTGGATATTTTTATGTAGGATTGTCGACAGATGAAGTGTTTTCAATTCTGCCTATGCCCAGTTTGAAACCTGAATCCAAAGATGCAGCATTCAAACATCTGCTGAGATTTCTGGTTGGGTCATTGGATCTTATGGTAGAGATTAAGTATGTATCATTGTTAAAGTTTGAAAGGATTAATACAGGATAACTCCATTAGAAAGAGCCACGGTTTACAACATGTTAACTCGAGACATCCTCCTGATGTGAAAGGCACAATATCAATATCATTTGTATTGTGTAGCACAGGTATACTGTGGACTCTTGATTCCAGTACTGACTGACCAGCTTCAAGCATACATTGTGTTGTGGTGATTTGATGTCTCCAAAAGCACTATCCTTTTTATTCTGCCTCCTTTTTGAACTGTATTTATGCACCTAAACTTCACTGTTTGTAGAAAGATTTGGAGGAACTGCAAGGATGATTTAAAGAGAAATGTAAAAACAAGAAAAATAAAAGACAGACTAGTGAAAAAAAAGCGAGTAAAAAGTGAGACGTGAAAAGCAAGCTGATTAGGGGTCCAGTCATTCTACATCCTACATCCTCCACCACCCGGCGCCTCCGCTCAACTGGCACCAACCGGGCTCCTGCTTGTCCCTCGCACATCCACCCTACCATCGGAGGTCACACTTTCAGCCAATACGCCCCAAATCTCTGGAACACTCTCCCTCAATCCCTCTGCCTTGACCCTCTCTCCGCTCTTCCAAGTCCCATCTGAAAATTTCCTCTTCGATCATGCGTATGGCCACCACCCCCTCCCTCCAGCTCAGAGTCAGGCTCCGCCACTGGTAAGCACTCTGAGACGCTACCCTGCGTGGAGAGTGCT